CAGCTGACCAGGTCAGAGTCATCAGGGAACAGCACTACCCAGGGACAGTCTCAGTGCACAACGTGTCTGTCCAGCCTCACAGTAAGCCAGGTCACTCTAAACATTGATAAATACGGCCCAGGTGGAAGCAAGAGAGGAGGAGACCGGATGCCTGGTCTGAAACGCTCCCTTGCCAGGGCACAGGGCAGGGTGAGCCTGCTTTCTCAGACCTTCAGGATGGTTGGTGTCAGGACCTCGTGCCAACAGGCACCATTTTGGACAGTGCAGTGTTGGGACAAATGCAATGGCCTTAGAGAGTCAGACAAGAACAAAATGGAGCTGGGGGCCTCACTTTGCCCAGCTGCACATCTGCTGTGTGACACAGGGTGGGCCCTTGCCCTCTCTATGCAGACCCTTCTGGGCACTGCTCTGCAGGTGGGGACAGCCTGTCTTCAGGATCTGATCCTGCAAGGCTCTGGTTTACATTTTTCAGACTCAGAAAAAGCCTGCTGTTCTCTACGGCTTCCTGCTGGAAACGATGAGCTACGTTAAGAATAACTTGTCAAGGACCAGAATCGTTGCCTGCAACTTGGCAGGTGAGCAGATGGATGTTGTGGGGTGGACCTTGTGGGTCACCTGGTCAACCTGGGTCTGCAGCGGGAGGCAGACAGGTGGCAGAGTCAGGTGTGAGCGCAGGCCTAGCTGGTGCCCTGTGCCTGGCCCACCGAGCTTCACTCCTGCCTGGACTTCACACCTGGCTGACTATGGCCCAATACCACCCACTGGTGTCTCCAGCTGGGATGGTCACAGCACATCTGCCACTGACCACATTTGTGCCATGAGGACTTCTTTGGCTCTGGTTTTAGGAATTATTATGAAGCAGCTGTCTGCCCATTATGTGAAGAAGCTGGACCTGCCAGAGCTACGGAATTGTAAGTGGGGGTGGTCCACGCCGAGGTCCCAGCCAGGTGACCCTGCTGTGGGTTACTTTGGGGGAGCGATGGATGCACCTGTGGAGGGCTTTGCAAGAAGACAACTACTGGGTGGGCAGAGTCGATTTCATCCTGTGTTGTTTCCCCCATTTGTGACTGAGCTGCTTCCATCGGACTCTGCACTCAGGTTCTGTGGGTGGCCCTCCTGTCCCCTACTGGGGACTGAAGTCCTGGGGAGGGGCTCTGATGGGTGTGGGGCACAGCTCAGCCTGCTGACTTTTGGCCTTGCATCCAGGAGGTTCCGAGGTGGCCCTGCCCAGTGGTGTCCTGCCTTGGCCTACAGTCAGCTCAGGGGCGCTGCCCACAGGGTGTATGATCTTGCCCTCAGGCTGACCCCTTCCTCTCTGTTCTCAGCTCTCCAGGAGCTGCAGCTGGACTCGGACCCTGGCGTCAGGGGGGCAGCGCTGGAGACCCTCAAAGTCCTGGACAGCTGCAGTGGGCCTTGGCTGCCAGCTCTGCCTGAAGGAGTGTCCTAGGTGCTCCAAACATGAGATGTGATTTGTGACCTGAGAGCCGAACCCTTCTACAGCAATGCAAACAATTTTTAACTTAGTTTTTAATCAAAACCTTGCAAAATAATCAGTAAGCTTTTCTTTCCTCCTGCTGAAATAAACCTGCATTGCCACTGGACTGCAGGGTCCTGACTGAGGGTATGGCATCCTAGAGCCCAGAGAAGGGGCAAAGGGAACATCAGCTGTTATGGGCCACTTCCTTTTTGCTTTGCCCCAGAGTGTGTCAGACAGCAGTCAGCCCAGAAGGTCCGAGCCCATCTGACTTCCTGTGCATGGCTTCTCATGTGCTGACCGTGTGCCTGCCCTGGTAGCCAGGGGAGGCCAATCTACTGCCCAGCCCCTACCTAGGGACCTCATTCCTAAGGAAAGCCAGGTGTGCACCCAGCTGACCATGACACAGGGCTGCAGCCAGGGTGGAGGACACAGCAGCCCCCAGGCAGGGTCCCTTGGCCCAGTGGGCCTCACAGAGGCAGCGATGTCTATACCAGGCCTCCCCTCACCCTTCCTATGGAGGCCTCAGGGTATCAAAGGTGTTTGGGCTGCTGAAACGGGCCAGCGAGGGTGAGCAGAAATGGCTGAGAGCTGAAAAGGAGAAATCAGTCCCATGTCCAGGAGACATGGCGGGGAAGAGGGGAGGAGACAAGGAAGAGATTCCTACTCTAAGGCCATCGATGGAACAGTCCAGTTACCAGTTACCAGCTGTCCCACTGCAGGCACTGAAGGCAGCGCCAAGGGGTCCCCTCAGAGAATGGGGGTCTGCTCTGCAGCCCAACTTGGCCTCCATCAGGGCTTCTCTAGATGCTGTTGGAGGATCTTTGTGGCTCTTAAGGAACAAATAGCAGAGCTATTTCCTCCCAGGCAACGAGATGCCTCTGCTGACCGTGAGAACCGCTGGCACAGCTGGGAGGGGGGCAGTTGGTTCATGCGCACATCTGTGCAGCCAGAGCCCCGCGCCTGTGTGGATCACAGATGAAACGTGAGCAGCAGGACCTCAGACCACCTAGTACTCCTGATCCTGAGAAGGTAACGGCAGCCAGAAAAAGTAAAGGGTTCAGCTCTCTGTCCATGGAAAAGGGTAACTTCTGAAGAGTAAAATGCCAAGGTTAAATGAGAAATCATAGGTAGGACTTATTTGCAATAGATACAAAACTGGATTGGCTCGTATAGATGGATTCAAATCCAACAAGAGGAAGCAGGACAGTGTTCTGAGGACCCTAGACAAGCCAGGTCCTCAGGAAGATGTGCTGGACCTCACGGGAGGCAGATAGCAAAGCATAATGCTGTAAGTTCACAACCACCACGGTGGCACCAGCCCCAGAGGCGGTGACATGAGGAAACCCCCTTGTGCTGGGCAGAGCACACCGGGAGACTCCCGGAAGGCAACGAGAAAGGTGCAGAGGCGCCGCCCACCGGTGCTCCTATCCCAACATCTGGGACACGGGAGTAAACTACTTACAGGGAACTCTACCGACAAGAGAAGCCCAGTGGATTCTTTTTACGTTGCTATCACAAAATACCTGAGATGAACTAACTATGCAGAGGTTTGCTTAGCTCACTGTTCTGTATTCACGGGCTTGGCTCCCGCTTCAGCTTGTGCCTGGTGAGGGTCTCGAGGTAGAAGGTGGGGCAGGGCCAGACTTGTGTAATCAGCCTCCTACCCGAAATGCCTTCATCCTTTCCCTGGGCAGAGGTCCCTCGCAGTTTCCAACGCAGTTCTTAGGGTGACACCTTTAACCCAGCACCTACATGTGCCAGTTCCCGGCAAATGCGAACCTGTAAGTGAACCAAAGCTGCAGAACCACAATACCAAATGCCTTAAGTGCAAGTTAAAAGCAGACACTGTACCAGTTTGGGGGTCCTTTACCTGCAGACTGGATAACCCCCGCCCAACCCCTTCCCCCGCTGGATGCTGAACATCAAAACCTCTACCTCCTGGGCCCCGCAGCAGCCCCTGGCCAGGGCGACGGGTTTCCTGGTGGAGAGAGGATGACTGTGTCCCAGGAAGCGGCTGGCCCAAGGAGAGCTCCAGAATGAGGGGCCCCATGAGCCAGTGCCCACTGCCACCTGTTCCGTGTGGCCAAGGCAAGTCCGGGCCCAGCTGTCTGCCGAAGCTGCCCCCCAGTTCCATGTGCTGCACACTGGTGTCGCCCCACCAGGGTGGAGCCCTGACCCCGACACGATGGTACCCAGGCGATGAGTCACCATGTTGGGGCCTCAGGAGGGGCTGAGTGCTCTCACAATACACCAGGGCCCCTGTCCCTCCCTCCTCCCTGCACACAGAGCTGCCCACGGGCCAGCATGGCACCCTCACCAGAACTGACCCTGCTGGGGCCTGCCTTGCAGCTTGGGACCATGAGACCATAAGCTCGTTTCTAAGCCTCTGGCAGCCTGGATTGACTCAGCCTGTTATGGTCTCAGTGATACACAGTGCCCAGGAGCAGGCGACACCAGGAGTGAATTGCTGAGGCAGGGGGAGGAAGGGACAGTGTAATCTCTTTGTATCTTCAGCCTTTTATTGAAAATAAAATTATAACAGACAGCAGGGTATCAACAACTACTGCTCCAGATGGTCAGGTCATGGATTTTGCCACTGTTCTTCGAATATTAGAAATAATTCATTAAAATATGGTGTCTTATCATAAACACTCAACAGAAACATGCGGTGGTGACAGTCACGGATGCCCTGTGGCTCCCAAGCGTTCTGGGACTAACGCGGATTGCTGAAACACAACACAGTTTCATCCAAATCCTGTCAGGCACTAGGAATTACTTTTTATGGGCGAGTAATATTCCAGTCTGCTGTCTTTAACATGGAAGAAACTATGTACAGGGGGATCTGAGTTTAAAAGATCAAGCAGCCATAGCTTCCTTCCAGGATCACTGTATCTAGGGTTTAAATGCAGGGTTTTCAACAAACATTCTAAAAAAAACCCAACAGGAAATAAAAGGGAGAATTCTCAGGACATGACTAAATTTAAAAGGAAACCTGAGAAAAATAGGCCTGGGCGGGTTGGATTTAGAAATTTAAATTGAAGCTGGGCATGGTGGCACATGACTATAATCCCAGCACTTAGGGAGGCTGAGGCAGGAGGATCGCATGAGCTTGAGGCCAGCCTGGGAGACCTAGTCTTAAAAAAAAGAGCGACCATATTCATATAACCACGAACTCAGAGTTCAATCTGATGGAGACAACTTCCCTGAGTTTGTGCTAAGGATGGATAAGTCAACCACATCCTCATACTTTCTTGATAATTAAAGTAAGGGCTGGAGGCACAGCTCAGTGGAGGAGCATTTGCTCAGCATGCTGGAGGCCTTAGGCCTAATCACCAATACTGCAAGACAAAAACCAAGAAAGCAGAACAGCTGGATGCCATGGCTCATGACTAATCCCAGTTATACAGGAGGCTGAGGCAGGAGGATGTGGTGGAGGAGGCCAGTCTGGGCAACTTGGCAAGACTTGAGTCTGGAGGAAAAAATTCAAGAAACATACAAACAAGAAGCACAGAGCAAGAGGGAAGAGGGTCCAAAATAAACTGGCTATACATTTTAATTTTTGAATTTTTCTAACAAAAATCATTTTTCTCTTCCATCCTGAAGGATATATTCTTTCCCCTAGAAGAAAAAGACAAAAGAAAATGATTTCAGTAAAATTCCACTAGAACCCCAAAGCCAGCCACCAAATGCTTCACTGCTTTATATTCCATTGTGTCCTCAGATATATGCGCCCATTACAAAAAACACCACTGGGCCAGGGATTTAGCTCAGTGGTTCCGCCGCCTGCCTCGCAAGCGCAAGGACCTGAGTTTGATCCCCAGTACCAAAAAAAAAAAAAAAAGCCACTGGATTAATAAAGAACTTAAGGAATCTTAGAATAAAAAGGGAACTCTCTTCCCACACAGGTGCACCCTAGTGAGCAAGTCCCTGGGATCTCAAATCCTGGCCCACATGGTGGTACACACCCACAATCCTAGCATTCTAGGAGGCCAGGCAGCAGGGTCACAAGTTCAAGCCCAGAGTGGGTAACTTAGTGGGGCCACGCCTCAAAACATAAGGCTGAAGATACAGTTCAGTTCAAAGGTCCTGCGTTCAGTCCTCAGTACTGAGACACACACACACACACACACACACACACACACACACACACACACACACTCTCTGTCTGGCCTGGCTCACACTGCCTGTGTGAATCAGAAGTTAGCAAGACGTCGCCTGTGCTTCTTGCTTGTAAGGAGTCCGAATATGAGTCAGGAGGCAGCTGTCTCATCCAGGGGTTCTCGTGGGGACCCAGGTGAGCTGTACAAAGGCACAGCATGGTCAAGGGCACAAGCATGGCTGATGCTGGCCACTGACCTTCCTCATGCAGTCACGGCTCATGGAGAGTTGTCCCTGCCCTGCACACCCACAGCGAAGGCCAGAGACCTGGTATCATTCTGGGGAGCTCTGCAGCCCTGCTGGGCACCGAGGGCAGAGCCAGGCACTGTCCTTGCTCAGGTGCGGTGACACCACTCCCGACATGGAAGGACACAGGCCAGAGAAGGATGCCCAGGCTGAGCGGGTGTCAAGGTGGGGGGCCTGGGCGCTGGCACAGCAGCACGACCCCAAAGGGGAAGGGCAGGAGGCCAGTGGCTGAGGAGCTGAGGACGAGGTGCAGGAGGACCCAGTGGGTAGAAGGGCAGTGCGACTAAAAGGCACAGGCGGGAGGGGCTGCCTGGGAAAAAGCCACTGAGGCTGAGAACAGAGGCAAGGAACCAGGGAATTGGGGTGTGGGGGCGGGAGGGAGCTTGGCAACAGCTCCGGGCTGTCACACAAGGTCACCTCCACAAAGCAGCAGCTGGGACCTGAGGCCTCAGAAGAGCCACAGCTAAAGGTCACCTGGTGTTGGTTTGTCCTGGGAAAGTCACATAGGCACAGGAGGGTGGGACTCCAGGCAGACAGGCCCAGGCCAAGGCCAGGGGAAGACGGTGCCATCATAGACAGCCGCCGCCATGCTGGCAGACAGAGCATCCACACGTCCACCTGCATTGGGGGCTGAGGGTCACTCTCCAGGTTCAGCATCCCAGGGTCTCCCGAGGTGTCCACCCTAGGCAGGGTGGGAGTGAGGCCTGGAGGTGCGCGAGTCCGACACCGGCCACTTGCTGCAGGCCAGAACCGGAAGTGGTCAGAAAGTCAGGATTTTCAGGTTGGTTTCACCTTACCACAGCTATTTTCTGAGGGTCCAATAAAGGAGCAGGAAATGCCAGACTGACAGATTAAAAGAGTAACAAACAAGTGAAGGTTTTTAGGAAAAAACCCTAAATCAATCTGATGGAAAATGTGTAATTTCTTTCCTTCAAGAAGGAAATATTTTTAGTTCCACCTTGATGCATTTTCCTCAGAAACATGTTCTTGATATAAACGCTGACTTTAGAGGAAGGAAAAGAATTTGGGGGAACTCCTGGAAAATGAACATTTGCATGAGTCCTGCTGGAATTGGTCAGAAGTGGCTGGGGTCTGGGGCGTGGCTCAGTATTCAAAGTGTGGGCCTCTGCTGCTAGCAGGCACGAGGATCCCCCCAAATAAACCAAAAACAGAGACTGATGCCTAAAAAGCCACTACCTCCAGAGCTGTTGCTCACATGAAATACCCAAACTGACAAGCAGGTGTAGACCTTTCTTACCCGTTGGGCTGGCAGGGGCTGAGCGGCTCCCCTGCTCTGGAGTCCACAGACCTGGGGGTCTGACAGCCTTCGTCGTTTTGCGGGGATCAGAGAAGCCCCCCTGGCTGTGCCTGCAGACACTTGAGCCTCAACTGCAGATGAGCCCGGTAGACTTCTCGGGAACCACTGGAAGCCCCAGACGAAAGTGTCCAGGCTTAATTCTCTACAGCTGTCTCCCACTGGGCACTGAACTTCCGCCCCGGCTTTATCTGCAGACACGGCAACACGTGACAGCACCTTCCCCTGCTGAGGTGATGTTTGGAAATACTTCTGGTGCAGACAGTCAAATTTTTCTTTAATTTCATCATAGCGACTCTTTGGACAGCTCGGTGGTTCTGTCCTTGGTACTGAAATAGCTTGGTTGGGCAACACTGCCTTTCTCACGGTTCCGGAATCGCGTCCTTGAAAAAGGTCACATGTCTGCAGAGAGTGGCCTGGGCTCGGTGGTGGATGGGTCTTGGAAATCGAGGAAGAGGAAGCCCTCTTTGGTGGGCCTCCACTCACTTCCACAGATCTTGTGCCCAGGTGTTCAAAAGTCTCACTCAGGCTTTTAGCTTTGGCTCTGCTGAAAGGTAGCCTTGGCCTGCATGTTTCCAAGCCCCGTGCACTGTCAGGACTCACACAGCCACCTCTGTACACGGCCAAGGCCCAGGAGTCTGAGCGTCCGGTGGCTCGAGGAAGCTGTTTCCCAGGATCTGGGCAGCATGCTTGATGAAGCTTGTTGAATTGGCTTCCAATCTCCCTGTACCGATTCTCTGCACAGCCCTGTGGCATTCTTGGTAGAGAAACTTTTTTCACAGGTGAAATTAACCATTTTAAGGTCATGAGTCGGCTTTCCCAATCCAGATGCACCATGTTGAAGTCTAAGGAAGTCAACGAGGAGCGCTTCCGGGGAGTCACCTGAAGCTCCTTCCAACTGGGGTCGAATTTATGGAGCTGGGGTTTGTTCTCGTCAAGAAAAGCCTTCTCCAACTCGAAGCCTGTCTTGGGGCAAGGAACATGAGGTAAGTTCCTGGAGTCTCCTACTGTCCCCCTCTCTCTCCTGGGCTCTGGGTAGGGTGTGGACCGCTCCTTGGTGCTCCTCCGGGAGGGCCTGGCCCCTTTGCAGTACGTCTCATTCATCTGCACCCCACTCCTCCGGGGCTGCCTCCTCCTGGAGCTCCAGTTCTGCACGATGAATGTTTTGGTGGAGATTATGCACGATGGCTTTGCGCTCAGCAGTCGACTCATGGAGTGCAGCATGCCCGCGTACAAGTCACTGATCGTCACATTGCAGATGTCATTGGCCTCAGAGGACTGGGTGCTTAAGCAGCTGGGACTGCTGGGGGCTATAGCCAGGTCTGCCGGGCGAGGGTGCAAGGGACCCCAGGCCCTGGGGGAGGGAGCAGGCTGTGCCGCATTACCGAGGCTCTCTGTCGAGTCGTCACCAGAATATCCTGGGGAGAAGCGCACAAGGTCAAGAAGCATCACCACTCAGTGCCCCATGTGTGCAGGCACCCAGTGCAAGAGGACATCCAGATCGCGTTTTTATTTTTAGGTACCAGAGATCGAACTCGGGACCTTGTGTTTGCGAGGCAGGCGGTGGAACCACTGAGCTAAACCCCTGGCTCGGATTGCGTTTTTAAACAATACAAAAACACAAATATTTAGGAACAAACTCTTTTCAAGATTCCTTCTTTGGCTATAAGAATTAGAGTTCTGCTCCCCATGTCACCTCAAAAGGAGTGCTCGTCACCTCTCGACTGTCTAGGTGGCTGTCACTTCAAAAGTGAAGGAGGACCAGAATCTCAGCACAAGCAAGGGCCACCCACGGGGAGGGACGAAGAGGGCAGTCAGGCTCCCACATTTGCTCTTTACCCAGCCTCCACTTCGGTTCCGTGTGAAATACTGTATGTATGTTTAAAAAATAAAACCAAACCAATGAGAATGGGAAAACCCTAAAGCTGAATGCAAAGAGGAAAAAAGTGAACCTGTATGTCAACTTGATAATGGAAAGAGCAAAAAGAACCCAGATGACTTTGGGCACAGGGCTCTGCATGTAGACCCTGAGTGGACACTGTTAGGATGAGGGAGCTGGCCGGAAATGTGGAGGAGTGTCAAGAGACGCTACTACCCTGAAGCTTTTTGGATGGATGACTGGCCAGGCAGGCACACCTTGTCGGGCCTGGTGACAGAGGACAGAGGAGAGGCAAACGTGGAACCAGGCACTCGGGCCAGAGGACCTGGGAGCCAGCCCGAGGTGCTTCTCCACCCTACATGCAGCACTACTTGAGCACCACGTGGAACGCTGGTCAGACTGCAACACACGCATCTTACAAAGGTCCACGATTCTTACAGAGCCCCAAACAGCAGAAAAAAAAGCAGCCAGAAGTCTGGGTTGCAACCACCTCAAGCAATCGTCACTGGACACCGGAAGTGCCGGGTGGAAGCCTTTCTGGGAAAGACTCCGTGGGGAGCCTAAGGACTCGGGGTCTTTGCAGTGAGAAGCTGGCTGGGCCCCACCTTGACTCCCCAGTCAGCACTGGTGGTACAAGCTGAGGAGATGTCCTGGGAGGACACAGTGTCCTACAGGCAGTATTTACGCCAAAAATGTTTGCCAGGAACCTAACCACAGGAAATAACCAGACAAATTCAAACTGAGGGACCTCTGCAGAGCCACTGGCCTATCTAAGACGGGTAACACCGTGAAAGATGATGACAGGAGCTGCCCTGGATTGGAGGTGACAACTAAACGCAGTGGGTGCGGCCCGGCTGGGTCCTCAACTGCTGCAGATGAAAAGGACCACAGGGGCGGGATGGCGTAGGGGTTGAAGCTGAACTGCGTCAGCGTTAGGTTTCTGAACTCACAGGAGTCAGGGAGGAGACTGACCCTATTCTAGATCCATGTGGAGCACTCGGGGATGCCGAACCCACGGACCCAGTGAGTGTACACTGCGTGTGCGGAGGGCCATGGAGCTGCTGGATGAGATGGGAGCTGCGAGGTGCAGCAGAAGGGCGTCCACTGAAGCACGCCCCTGCTCCTGGGCAATCAGAAATGCTCACACGGGCAGGCGGCGACGAAGAGCGAGTGAGCAACTCGCGTGCCACACTACAGAGGGAAAAATGGCTCCTTTAAAGTTCTGCACGCTTTCTAGGATGTGCAGGTGTCCCCGACAGTTTAAGATGATAAACGTCCTGGCGAACAACAGGGCACATACACAGCGCGAGCGGCACTGAGCTGAGCCCCATGAAGAGTGAGGGAGACAATCAGCTGCTCACACGTACCAGGGGCAGGCATGGCAGGCGAGGCCAGGAACAGGGCCGGCGTCTTCGGTGTGTCCTTCCTGACTCCCTTCGCTGCACCCTGGAATCAAAGCCAGTGATGACAAGCCAGCCGCAGGACGTCCAGACCCGGGTGCACGCGGGGTCCCCCACGGGTGGCCTCGGGAGCTGGCGCCCTTCCACAAGACCGCATCTCTGGTAGCCCCTGCTGCCAAGCATGTGAGTGTGAGGACCGCCCGGCCGGGCCTTGAGCCCCGGGGGGAAACTTGAAGAGCGTTTACTTTATGATTTGAGTCTGTAAACCAGACACAAGCAGCGATTACCTCCAAACACCTGGCACCCTGGAGCAGGATGTCCACTTGGGTCAGGTACTTCCTTCTTAGCTCATCTCTCAAAGGGCTCTGAGGCACTGCAGGCTGCCAGGAAAGAGCAGTCAACGTTCCTGACAGCTGCCAGGAATTCTGGACCATCCCAGCAAGCTCACTAGTTAGGGCACAATCTTTAGATGAAAGTCCTGGAAGTCACTTTCTAAGTCCCTGCTGTTAGCAGTTCAAGGTAGTGGAGCCCTCTGCAGGGGCAGTGGTGCATGACAATAACCCCAACACTAAGGAGGCTGAGGCAGGAGGATCTCTGTGGGTTCAAAGCCAGGCTAAATTACATAGTGAGACTCTCAAAATACCAAAAAGCACCCCTCTCCCCAAGTGGTGCAGTCCCTCAGAAAATTCACTGACTCAGTGTCTAACTCTAGGGAGTTTACCCAGGGCAACCACCCAAAAAAAGATCAAAAACACACCAGCTGGGAGGTACTTGGAACAGAAAAAATAAGACAATCTAAATGTGTGTGAGAGAGCTCAGACTAGACCCTCAGTAATAACCCAGCTGGTAAGTACGTAAGGAAAGAGGCTCAGTGCTCCAGCTCCGGGGCAGCGGTGGCTGGAAATCCCACCCCTCACCCGCTGGACACGGTCAGGACCCCCACCTCCTTCCTGTACCTGTGCAGGTTGGGCCAGGGACTCCAGATCAGAAGGGGACCACACACTTGCACGGCAGGCCTGGGCCTGCACCCCGGTTCTACACAACGGGCTCCCTTCCCCTCACTGCTGATGCCGACAAAACACAAAGTCTCCGCTGTCCTTCCCCAGGGTCACCACCTCGCTTTCCATTTAGACAATAAAAGTCACAGGACGGGGCCACGGCAGCTCTGCACGAAGGGCGTCTTTAGCGGAGAGCCGGGCACATGTTACTCTGGCACCTGGGAAAGAGGCTGGGGTGGGTTAGCTTCTGAGTCTCACCCATCCTGGGGGGGCTTTGACCGTGTGCAGACAGTGGACTCCTGGGGCACTCGGCACGGGATACAGCAAAGGTACTAATCGTTTGGGCCACTGACCTTGTGACCATGTGGGCTTCAAGGGTGACCCGGAAATACTTCCCGAGACACTGTCTCAGGGTGAGCCTGCCCCGGGCCATCAGCATGGCGCCATCAGTCAGGGCCCACAGACCCCGGGTGCCTGGCCGCAGAGTGAAAATCCTCCCGCAGTACTGACAGTCATGGGGCCAGCAAGGCAGGGCAGGACTGAGGGCGGTGCTGGCTGCCAAGTGCTAGGCTGAGGGGGACACGCGGCTCAGGGAATCAAGAGGGGACCAAAGACCAGGGGGTGGCGCTCACCGTCCAGGTGCAGGCGGACAGGTCCCCCAGGTCTGAGGCTGCCTCAGCGTCACTGCTTTCTGAATCTAGATGTAAACAAGGAAAAAGCAAGCCGGGCTTTTAGGAAAAACTACATTCTTACCAAGGTCGGATTTTGTATCATTTTGAGTGCGTTCTACAGTAAAAATCTCACTGCTTCAAGAGTGCTCCCTACCACTAAGGGCACAGCCACCTGTCACTGTCAAGACTGCAGGGACCGGCAGGACACACCTGAGTCACGGCACCAAGTGGGAGCAGGTTTTCCACCAGCAGCACCTCGGCCTGGGCCTGAGCCTGAGCCTGAGCCTAGAAGCTGAGATCCGCACCCAGCACTGCCCGGCAGACCCCTTTGATGGTGGGACGTTCTCCATCTGCTCCCCACAGTCACCAGGAGCCACTCCTGGAGGGGTGGGCTCACAAGGCTCGGGACTGGGTCTTCAGTGTAACTCAATTTCCTGTGAGCTAGAATGGCCATAGGTACAAGTGAGTACCACACACGACAGGGTAGCCCTCTTTCCAATCCTTTCAAGCAAGTCTGGGAAATTCTTGGATCTAAAGATTTAAGGAGTTAGCACTTAGGTTAATACCAGGTTTTTAAAAAATCCCATTAGTCAATATCCTCATTGAGATTTTCTTTCTAATCCTACCCCAAAGACGAGCTGTACCAGTCATATGGGACTGACTCATGCTACCGACTGTCTGCTGTAGACAAGGTGCCGGGACAGGAGCTGTGTGGCGGGGAGAGCGGGTCCGGAATGGTCAGCGTCTGGAGTGGTGACCACTCCTGCAATCCCAGCACTCTGGGAGGGTTAGGCAAGAGGGCTGCCAGTTTCAGCTCAGCCCGTGTAACTTACTGAGACGCTACCTCCAAAGAAAAAAGGGGGTAGGGATGTAGCTCAGCACAAAGGCCCTAGGTTCAATTCACAGTACCCCGAAAGGCACAGGAGGCCAATGCTCTGGGCATGAGGAATGAGGGAGGGGCGCGAACAGAGGCCAGGCAGTGGTGGGGACCTGCTGGGGCTGGGGGCCTGAGGACGGGCGGGTCTGGCCGCTGGCCTTCTTCCCTTAGACGGCTGGGTCTGGACAGGAAGGGAGCACACAGAGGCCGCCCGGTGGCAAAGCCAACCTGAATGCTTCACAGGAAGCAGGTGGGAAAGGGACGGAGCAGAGCAGCAAGCAGACAGGGACACGGGGCAGGGAAGACCCTCAAGGTACGCCTCACGTGCCACGGGCAACCGAGCAAGTCTCAGTGCTGACGGGGGCCCAGGCTAGCGGGGAGGCTGACAGGGCAGGCAGGGCCTGTGAGAAAATCGGGCAGGGCCAGCAAGATGCCCATGGCACGGGAAGGGAGCTCCCCGCGACCACGGAGAGGATGAAGGACAGCAGATGGAAGTGGCAGCAAGCTCTGCGACAGGAGCGCGTTCGCAACTGCCTGAGGGCAGCTGTGTCTTAGCAAACCTTGACACTGACTTTTTAAATGGGGGGCGGGGACCACAGATAGGCCTAACTGGGCCAGAGATGGCTCCCTGACCCTCCCCTGCTTGGGAGGCTGTGACAGGCTGCGTGAAGATGCCTTTAGCTTTTAAAACACCCTTAGAAAAAAGAAAAACCGACAATGAGGGCCCCAAAACTCCTAGCGGGGAGATCTGTTGGGCCAGGTCCCCTCGGCCTCCCTTCCGACCCAAGGCCACACTCACCCATTCCCGGGACCTGTGTGTGGGGTCGTAGACGCTTATCACCTTGCCCTGGCCCAGGGTCATCTGCCCCGTCCACTGGCTTCCCAGGGGGATCCTTAAGGTACAAAAATCAACAAAGACATGCTTGAGAAAGAGCCTGTCCTAAGCCACCGGAATGTCCTAAACCCATAGTCCTTCCCTCAACATAGGACAGGAAGCCATGCGAGGCTTCTGGAACATTCGAGCATTCGAGCCAGCAGATCAGCCAGAGCACATTAGGAAGCACCAGCCCTGTGAGAATAGGAGGCGGATCCTGGGGAGGCCCCCTTTCGAGGGGCACCAGCCCAGAGCTTCCTCCAGAAAGTCACCACTTGGCCCCAGTGACACTGCCTCGTGTTGAGGTTTGCTGTCTCCTGCCACCTCCACAGCGGTGATCTTAGGAGCAGGTTGAGCACTGGTTTTCTGGGAAAAAGATGAAGGCAGATTTGGACACTGTCACTGACAGTGATTCCAGTGAGGTTGTGGCTGTCTGAGTGGTGACCACAGCTATGCCCAATTTTCTAATCCCAAGGAAGGGTCTAGAAATTCTGCAGATACTGGGCAGGAGTCCTCCCTCATTTGAAGTAAAAACCTTAAATGTCCAGACAGAAACATTTTGTCACCAGGACCGTTCTAGCATCAGTCTGATGAGTAAAGGGAGTGTCCTCCGGTCTCCTAATCCCACTTCTCGGTATTTACTGCAAAGGAAGATATTTAGCCCTGGGAAGAGGTCCGGCCCTGGACGTTCCCGAGGGCTACTCGGGGTTTATAATGCAGCTGTTGGGACACAGTCACGCCTGCTCATTTACACCTCTCCTATGGGCGCTTCCCCTCCAGGAGAGCTGAGTAGCTACGACAGACACAGGGCTAGCAAAGCCTAAGATACTTACACACGGCCTTTTAAAGGAAAAGTGACTGAATTATGAAACGAATGAAGAGAAAGGTTTCCCATATACACTAACTGGAAAAGATTTTTAAAACGTGTGTTTTTAAACATGGATTATACACAGAGGTCAGGCTAAATTTAAGTAGTTGTATTTCTAACATTTCTATGGCTGAAATAATTCATCAAGAAGAAGGCTTGACTTTTAGAATTGCTGTTAATGCTGGGTAACCTTAACCTTGATGCTGTCACTTGTGGACACTGGTTTCCTGACCTGTGACCACAAGGAGGAACTAGGGGCATGTGAGAAGCATTAATAGAATACCAGACAACTGTGCAAAAGCTACCTGGGCCAAAGGCTGCCTGAGTAGTCTCCCAGTAGAAAGGCAAACTGTATTGGTGCCACCCAGTAAAATCATAATAGATCACTAGCTGCAGAGCCTTGGGATCATTTTGGGGATGGGGGGTACCTAGAAACCTTGTTCTCAAAAGGAAGAAAAACTCAGAAGGAAGAGTTTGTGATCCCCTACACTTTACCCTCTGCCCATCTCCCTTCTTTGCCTTTCCTTTCCCAGAGAAGCTGGATCTGGTCTTCTCTGTAAGGACTCAATAATGGGCTCCCAGCTGGGCCTATGGGAGGTCATCCAGCTAGCTCAGCCTCCCTACAGGAAAGCCAGTGGTCAAGAGCCCTGCGGCCCAGGATGGAGGAAACACAGGGCAACAAAGAGGCCAGGCAGCAGAAGAAATGCTCAGCAAGTCCTCAAACAGGGGAACAGGGCGAAAGGCAAGGAAATCAGGTGTCCTCCCAAGGTCTCCAGCAGCTTTTGGCACCAGGGTTCGCTCACACCAGAGCTCATTCACATCAGCACTTCTCCACGACAATGCATTCAAGCCATGTGATTTGACATGAAATACCTGGATTTGTCCTTTGTTTACTTCCTTCACTAGTTTTCCTCCCCAAATTCTCAATCCTTAGGAAAAGAAATAACAATAATCATTTAAGTTAAGTAATTCTCAATACTTAAGTTTTGTTTAATCTGCATTCAGAGAAAGCCAAAGTGACAGGTACACAAAGGATGTAATAGTAAAAGCAAGACGGGTTTCTGACAGCCTGTTGTTCATCTTTGTGAAGTCCAAGGTTTTTAATGAAGACTAGACCAATTTTTCATTAACAGAAATCTCTTCTACCTAGCAGGCAGAAGCTCGTCAAATTATATCACTGACCTGAAAAGTTAAATGAAAAGAGGAACATAGATATGCCAGGTACTGTCCTTAAAGTACACATTTATTGAGGGCAATATATATACTGCATTTATAAAATAAGCACATCTTACGAACAATCTAGACATAACAGCGCTTCCTCAGGGCAACCTGTACAGTGTACCAATGGAGCAAGCCCAAGCTCAGGGCAGTTTCTGGAGTTCAAGTGCACCTAGCTCTGCCACATACCAGTTCACAGAACCCAGCAATATACTGATTCTCTCCTGAGACCTCCTAGGGAAACTCAAGTTAGTAAGAAAGGAGGAACCTGTTTTGAGGCTTGAGATGGTTGTTATGATAACAGGAGCAAAACACACAGTGCTTTCTATGCTCCTGGTTCTATTTTAAACCCTTTCCAAGTATACCTCATTAAGGACTCACAACAACCCACCTATACATAGCTTGCACGTCCCTCTGAACATAAGGGACAGGGACTTAGCATGCTCATCCTACAGATGGACACAGGCAGGAGGACTCTTATATACTAGCCCAGGCCACCTGCCCCAGTGGCACAGCTGGGATGTGAACTCCAGCCAGTGCTGACTCTGTACTCTTGACCACTGTGGGGGTAGTGACGTTGAGCACATGGATTCTTGAGTCAAATCAAGGGTCTGCCATTCTGGTTAAGTGACACCAGCAAAGTGACTTCCCCTCTTTGTCCTGTGTCCATGTTTTATTGCGATGATTCTAAGAACAGTGCCCATCTTGCAGAGTTGAAAATCAACAATAAGAAATAAATATAAATATAGGTCGCATGGTAAGCTGTCAATACAGGCAGACAACTACTTCTCTGCTGTCTTCACCACGGTGTATTTGGTCCCAATCTATGTTCTACAGTGTTGTCTTAAATTGGGGATCAATACTACTGTACAAGGAGGCTCTGCAGCACTCAAAAGGCCATGCCACTAACTGTTTTCAGACTAAACAACAGAACAGGGACCTGTGCCATGAAAATGAGCTACAAGCTTGTTAGATACACAAACCTACTGCGTCAGTATCCGGTACTGCAGTTGGTGGCCCCAGGAAGCTGTGGGTTACCCAGCTCTCCAGAAGTCTTCTACATACTCAGGTGTGACTGCTGTTTGCATCAAACTGGCATCCCAAGAATTTTCACTGGTTAAATTAGTGGTATTCAAAATAACAGGGTTGCCCACGCTCATCCTTGCATGGACAGGCATCGGAACACAGTAAAGCTGGTGGATGGCACCCTCAAGGATGATTCCTTTACAACCCTGGGTCCTGCCCCAGACCACAGTAAAATTTGCTGCTAGAATGTTTTACTTTCTGCCTGTGTAAATTTTTCACCCCAAGTGTGGCTGGGTCAGCTAAACAGAAAGTGAAGACTTCAGTTAATTCAAGAGTGGGCCTTCTGAACCTTTTGTGCCTGTATATCTAGGGAGAAAGTGATATTTGCTTTCCGGAGGACGCGAAGGCATGTTGGTAGTAAGGCCATCTGGGAGGACGCACCCATATTCACTGCAAATCGTTTCCAGCTACTTATCAGGCAAATCCATCAGATTTAAGGCAGTTTACATCAACCATTAAACTAAACGGTTTCTTCTGAGTTTTCCAGTACAGCATTCAGAACCTCAAGAAAGATGGTTACATATAAAACGAGACAAACAGCCATCCTCCGCCTTTACTAGTGACCAGTGCGGCTCCGAGTTTCACAAGGGCTCTCCACAACCATTACCATTTCCACTCAGGGGAGATTATTGTTGTCATTCTCCTCATTTTACAGAAAGAGATTAAGACACTGAGCAGCTAAGCAACCGGCCCAAGCCAGCAAGCCAACTCTGCCGGCCAGAGGCACGAAAACCAAGACGCACCTATGTGTCAAGTACTTTTGCCGGACATAAATACAGGTTCAAGGGAACAAGTAATGTTTTGGTGCCGAGCGGGGGGAACATGCGCTACTTTCCAAAGAGGACGGGGCAGCGTCTCGAACCCCCGATGACACTGTTCACCCCGTCCACCACCGGTGCCGGGGGTGGGGCGATGGTTCGTACCCTGAGGCGTCTTGTAGGTCAGCGTGGACATCTCCACCAGCGGGGCGTCCTCGAAGGGGTGTTCGTACTGCGGGATGGAAGGGGCGTCCGTTAGGCCCCGGCCCGGCTCCCGGCTCCGCACCCAGCCCTCCCCGCAGACCGGGCCTCGTCCGCCCCAACCCTCCGCGGGCCGGTGGCTCCCACCTTCGCTATCAGCTGCTGCATGCGCCTCTGGAAGCGGCGGCGGCTGTCGCTGAGCTTGTGCAGCAGCGGGTCCTCCGCTGCCCACTCGCTCTCCAGGCCCTGGAGCTCCATAACGCGCGCCAGACCCAGAGCCCACTCGGCCGGGAACCCGTACCGCCTCTCAAACTCTGCGCGCGCCGCTCAACTAAACCGCTCCGCCCCCTTGCCCGACTCTCGGGTTCCTATTGGCCGGAGCGGAAGGACCGGGCGCTGATTGGGTAGTTCAAACGAGTTTCGGTTTTGACGCTTTCTCTCGCCAATCCACTCCTAGCTGCTAATCCCCGCCCCCTGGAATTCGCCAGGCGGAAATGGGGCGCAAATGAGCCGGAAGTGAACCTTGGGTTGGGCGACGTAGCAGCTGCGATCGGAGCCAGAGGGCCCCGGTGGTTCTTTGAGGCGTGTGGGAGCGCGTTCAAGCATTGTCTCGCGTATCATTCCTCCGCTTGGGCACTTGTGACAGACGCGGCCTGGAGACGCCTCAGAGACTTGTCTGGGTCTCCCCGCCGGGTGGGACGCGGCTCCACGCGTGAACCCCTCCTGCCAGCCAGAATCCGGTCCAGGGGGCGGCAGGCGGGAAAGAGCAGGCCGTTACCAGCAGCGAAGGAGGCCAGAAAAGGTTCATTTAGACTAAAAAAATTAAATTAAAATTAGAAATAAATCCCAACACAAAATATGGTGAAAGATGCTCCCCAGAACCATAAACACAGAACCCAGGAAAATGGGAAAATTCGGTATGTTTATTAGTCCCTCAGCCTTTCCCTTTCTATTTATGATTGCATATTCTGTTTCTTGATAGCAGTCTTGTAGTATTTTTCTAGCACTCGTAGGGAACTAGTTCAGTCTGTATGTTATGATTGGCAACGCTTTATGATTGATATTTTAGAAAAGTGTTTCCAACTTCGTAACAGCCCTGTTTGTGTGCATGTGCTGATGTGATTTCCATGGTATATGATTAATACTAAAAGCATTAACTGAGCACCAGGAGGTCCCTTAGCAGGGCTCACTGTCCTTTCATGCTGTCCTGAAAAAATTTGAGGAGGAGCAGGTGAGAGAAGCCTCAGGACTCATGTAAGTGTCCATAGAATGTATTGTATTGGGCAAGAGATATACCACCCAGACTCCTCTAAAAGATGCTCCAGCTTTCTGAAGTGCTGTCCTCCTGAGCCCTTAATTGGCAGCCTCTTCCCGGATTTGGTTTCAGAGAGCTGCCTCTCCGAAGGTCATGTTGCCCCAGGCTGCCCAAATCCAATGACTGATGCAGATGAGAATGTGTCGGTTGTGCCATTGCAGTCCAATGGGGGACAGCCCCAATGGGCCCTTCTGTCTCCCGAGCTGTCCAGGCTCCTTTCTTTCCTTGCCCTCCTTCGATGCTGGTCTGAAGGACTCTCCCTCATGAACTTCTGTACCCTAAGGAAATCTGAATCTGCACCCTGGAGACCGGAGCCTGCTGCAAGTGACCAGTGAATCTACACAATCTGCAGCTTTTCCAATTGTCACCAACAGCTGAGAGGTCTTCCTTCTCCTCCTTTGGGAGCATTTAGAAATTTATCATGCTGGACCTTGGTACGTTGTGTTTACAGTCATAATTTAGTTTTAAAACATTTAAACTGACACATTCAGAGACTTGAGGCCTTGGCTAAGTGTTTTCTTTCTCGTCCTTTTTCTTTCTTAAGTTTTGGAGAACTTTCTCTTCTACAGCTCTGATGAGTGATAGTGCAAAGGTTCAGAACTGGCCTCTTGTACTCTCTAAGGCTTGTTCCTCATCCCTGGGAGATCACTCACAGGCTCCAGCGCCTCACTTACCAGCTTCACAGACAATCCAAGGATCTGCCTCCGTCTCTGGGACTCATGAGCAGCTAGAGGGGAAAGATTTCTCAATCTCAAATTCAAGATGTTAACTGAAGTCAAAACCATACCTGCTTTAGCCAACCCCTTCTGAGCCAGCCAAAGCCCAAAGGTCATGTGCTGTCCTCTCTGGTTCTGACCTCCTCATTTTTCAGTTCTTTCTGACAGGATTTTGCTAGCCATGGTCTAAAGTGGTACCTAAGGAAAGAGAAAGCCTGCACCATGTTTCTAATTTGATGTTGTTCTGTACAACTGTAACCACCCTGGGCAGCCCAGACATGCCCTCAGGAACCTAGACAGGCTAAGCAAACTCCTTCCCCTGCACTTCACACCACCATGTACTAGGGGAGTATCATGAGTCACCTCCTTCACCAGCAGCAGAAGTTTCTGGATGCTGCCCCAGGAAACTTCCTTCCCAGGGCTTCCAAAGGCAGCAGAGGTCACAGTGCTCCACCCTAGCTGTAGGATCTTCTCTGGCTGCCCCTGCACAGTGCTCTCTGCTGGTGGAGCTAGAATTTCCAAATCTCAGAGTGCTCTTTACAATAACTGCACCTAGGAAATAGTGCTTATTAAAATTATTTTATGGCCAGTGTCATAAAATATGCCTGAATTTTGCTTCAAATAAAATAGATGAATGTATTCTGCATGGAGTTGCCATGCAAATAATTTTATACTGAAAAAGTGTGGAAATGTCACTTCCCATCTATGGTTGGAGGAGCACAGCTTTGGGCTGGTCGCAGCCTTGACAGAAATTGCCAGGTAACAGAGAGATGCTCAGTCTGAGATAAATTATGGACCAGAAGCACCAGGCCCCAGCTGCATCAGCAAAGGCAGAGGCTGTGAAATAGCAGATAGCAGTTGCTTTCCACAAGGTGGCAGTCAAAGCTCACAAAAAAACTGCTTGCTAGGGCCGGGGATTTAGCTCAGTGGTTTCGCTGTTGCGCAAGCACAAGGACCTGAGTTTGATCCCCGGTACCAAAAAAAAAAACCAACCGTGCTTGTTCCTTGATTTAATGAGTCCATTTCTTGAAATCTATCCAAAGTGAAGATTGAACTGGAGGACCTTTACTGAACCTGCTTGCATTGTCCAACACAAGAAGGACAATCGGGTAAGTGATGTTGGACATCTATCTGTTTTCCATTAACAATCATGTTGAATATCATAATTGTTGGCATCTAAAATATATATGGTTTTCATAAAAAGAGGAGACAACATGAACATAAGCATTATATAATTATATACCTGCATTTGAAAATATGCATTATATATTTTAAAGTTTTGTGACTACATATACTTTTCCTCTGGGGTTTTCTTTGGATGCTGATCTATTATTTTAAATACTGGTTTTCCTTAGCTGCCTTTTCTAGAATGAACATCTATTATGCAGTTATGTGTGTGCACTACTCATGTAACAACAAAGAGATGGCCAATTGTTTTAGTCCACTTTGTGCTGCTAGGACAGTATCTGAGACAGATGTAATTTATAATGAGTAGAAGCTTATTTCTTACAGTTCTGGAGGCTGAGAAGTCCAAGACCAAGGGTCTGGCATCTGGCAGGGGTCTCCTTACTGTATCATTCCATGTGGAAGACAGAAGGGCAGGAGAAGGGAAGAGAGAGCAGGGGGACAGAACTTGGTAAAGAATCCATTCCCACATTAATGAATGGGTTCCCTGGACAGTGGCATGGATCTGTTCATTCACCCTCAGGGCCTAATCAGCTCTCATTTGGGCCCCACCTCTCAATTCTTAAGAAAATGGTTTTTATTTTTTAAAATATGATAAAATGTTTAAGTTCACATTTTAAAGTTGGTGGAATCTCAGATTTATATAACATTTTGTATCCTTTTTGTTTAGGCAAAAAACCCGTCAGTATGGTCCCATGTTAACTTGTTTCACTTTTGCATTAATAACATTCATTTATGCAGTAGTCCTGAATAGGCATATGAACTTCTTGGCATTATTTTGTTTTTAAAAGAAAACACTATTTAATAAACTATAGCATAACCCCAAAATTATGCTGGAAAAGTATAAAAAGTTAGAGGGAAAAAGAGCTTCAGTTTAGTCCCACTTTTTGGTATGTCCTTTCTGTTTCTAAGATCATCATTTTTATTTTAAGTGGTTTAGTTTTAAGACGGCAGCATATTAACAAATTATTATCAATATAGGCTTTTCAATTTGTCCAAAATTATGCATTGTAAGTGGAATGAAGCAGCATTTCCAGTTGACACATGGATCTATGGGCAATGAGGTATCTCCTAAAAAAGGCTTGTGACAATTAAACCAACAAATGGTGGCAATGAGAAAACTATTGACAAAGGACAACCAGAGAATAGTCAACTCAATATATGCAGGAGTCTGTACTTTAAGTAAAAGAATGACTACCTGAAGCAGTACAAATGGTAACCAGGTACCAAGAAAACCGACAATGAGGTTGGGCAAGAGTATTCTTTTAGGGTTTACAGTGTAACTAGGGAGGGATGAAGAAGGAAAATATAAGATAGGTTCATTCATATAGGAAGTTATTTGAATAGCCTGTACCCAGGTAATAACTTCTGACCAAGAGGTTATAAAAGCCATAAATAAAATTATCATCATGGAAAGTGACAGGCAGTAACTCTGAATGCTGACATAGACAGGACATTGGTAAGAATAAATATTCTGTTCCTTCAGGCTTTGGTAGATACCTGGTTCTCCCAAAACATAAGCAAGGACTGAAGTCCAAATCAAAGTACTGCAAAGAAATAAAACAACTTCTGACATTTAGATGAAAGCTTGGTGAGTTTAGAGAAATTCAGGCAATAATCTATACAAGATATTAAGAAGACTGGATAATGCAAAAAGCCATAAGTAAAGGAAATAATTTGAGCAAAAAGGCAGATATGGTATTTCGTAAACCTAATACCTAGAAGTACAAAATCCCTAAAATAGGATATAATGGAAATGTTTACCAGAAATAAAAAATCAACAAATGCTAATGAAACAAAAACATTACATAAAATTTTGATAGCTGTTTTTTCTTCTCATTCCTAATGTGAGGATATTTAATAATATTTTCTCAAGTACGATTAAGAACAACAGACAAGTAGCATCCAAAGGCTGATTTGTTTGATGTACCTGGTACTGAAAAGAGCAGTTGTCAGCAGAAAAAGGTGTCATATTTTTAGTTACATTTCAGGAAGACCTGCTGAAAAATGCATGATAAAGCACTGCTTCACTTTGTTTTCCATTCGCATCCTGTAGTTTAACTTGACCTTATCTGAAAAAGTTCCATCACAGGTTCGAGGTACAAGGACACAGAAGCATAGCTGCCGACCTGAGACTGCCAGGCGGTGTTGCCTGGAGAAGGAGGCCTGGATGGAGTGACCTGGAGGGGTGGGTCTCTCCAGAGTCTTCCTTCCTAACCAGTGATCCTCCTAGTTTATTTTGATTATGCTGCCTTCAATTATGTCACTGTTGGTTCCTTGCATTTCATTCTGCTGTGCCAGAATGCTATGTAAGTTCTGCATTTGTGAGCCTGATGAATGGAAAGAGCATCCCTTGTCGCTATGGGTTATCTCCACAAGTTGAATGGGTGGTGCTCCTCATGGGGCTCCGGGCTGCACCTTCCTTCAGAGTCGACCACCAGAAACCACTTGTCGGAGCTCGCTCCCCACATCCCATGCAGGGGCCCCACCCAGCCCACGGAAAGGTCACCCCCACACCTCTCAACTCTTGTGGATTACAGAATCAGTTTGTAACACAGGCTTTTGGGGGTGCCTCCAAACCACAGACCAACCACGTGCTTTTACCTTTAGACAAATAAAAAACCTGTGGCTCCAAACATTCTAAAACTGCTGTTCGGCAGATACCAAAACATCTAGGTTAGTTTTTAAAATTCTAATAGGGTGGGCCTATCCTTCTATGACCTCTGCAGGATTTCAGCTGAAGCTTCAAGGACCCGCACTTAGAGGCATTTGGGGGCATTCTCAGACCAGAAGGTGTACACACCAGGCCCCTTGTGTCCTAACTCCATTTATCACTCATTTCTAGGGACAGTCAGTTTCTGTAATGATCCAAGTTTACTAAGCTCTCATTGCTGAATTTATTTTGTTAACTTAAGATTTGTGACCAAGTTCATCCCTTTGTTTAAAATAATTAGATCTAGATCTTTGTAGCAAATCATTTGGTTTATAGATAAAACATTTGGAAAATATCTTTTTTATTTTGTATTTGCTTTGCACGTGTGCATGAATGAATGTGTGTGTGTCTATATGTGTGTCTTAATTACTTTCTCATTGCTGGGACAAAATACCCAACATCCACAAGTTAAAGGAGAAAAAGTTTATTTTGGTTCACTGTTTGTAGAGGTTTCAGTCCATTGTTGGCTGGCTCCAAGGCAGGGTGGCATAGCAGAGGGGCATCATAGAGGAGAAACAGTCCATGGCAGGGTAGACAGGAGACAGCAAAAAAGCAGCAGCATGCCTCCCTTACCCTTTTATTCTATCTAGGCTACAAGCCGATTGGTACTAGGCCCCAGGGTGGACCTTTTCATTCATTATCCACACCCAGCACTACGCTAAACCAATCAGTGCACTAATTTAGCTATCACACACCCTTTTATCCATATTCACACACTCTAGATCCAGCTACCTCCAAAAAGCCCCACCTTTGAGGCTTTGAGGGAATATCTAGATACAACATCTAGATCTAACAATGTATGAAGTCTTATTTTAATTGTTTTATTATGTCCTGGATTATCTTGTGTCTATTGATCGCATAAGAACATGATCCTTGTAAACAGAAAACAGATAAACATGTAAGCTAATTCTATTCTGTACCAATCTAATCCAGCCTAGAAGAAAAATGATTGTGGGTCTGTTAGAGCAGTGACCAATTTATGAAAAGACAATTAGGCAAACTTAAGCTCTGGTCCCTTACACAACCTTCGAGGTGATGCTTGTTGTGTTGTATGTTTGTCCCTTTGCTCAGTCTATATTGTAGGGGAAACGATTATTGGGTCATTGACAGTACAGCTCATTCCTGGCCTCTGTTTGGTCAGCGTTAAACTACTAATTAAGCACCCATATGTGTGTATGGAAGGCTAGTTGTTCCACACTCTTTAACATTTAGTACTGTATGTTGCTTATATTCTAAGTGCAAGCTAGTATCTCATTTTGATTTTAATTTGTACTTCATTAATTGCTAAGGGAACTGAACATATTTTCCCATGATTTTTATATTTGTTTGCCTATTCATCCCTTTTGTCAATTACTATATGGATTGATTGCCTTTTTCTTTTGGTTCTGTAATTCTGCATATTTCTGCATGCCAATTTTTGTTGGTTTTATGTATATATTTTGTCATATATTTATAAGTGTTCTGCCTTTGTTTTCACTATTTTTATAGTACTTTTAGTTACTAGAAATTTTTCATTTTATGGAAATACAAATTTTCATTTTTTAATTTTTAGAATATTTTGGTGTCTCATTTAAGAAATCCTTTTGTTCCAAGGTTATAAAATTTGCTTCTCACAGTTAAACTTTTAAACTATTGGAATTGCTTTGTGTGTTTAAGGTAAGAATCCAATTCTTTTTTTCTCTAATGTGGATCCACATTGTCTCAGAAACATTAATTGAATAGTTCATTTTTTACCACTGTTTTACAATGCCATTGATTATTGTGTCTTTTCTGTAGGCAGTGTGCCCATCTCTGGATTCAGTGTTACATTTTACTGGTCTTTTTTCTAGCTTTGCACCAAATGTTATAGTAACTATCAAGCTGGGAAAATACCTTCCCCTCCCTTTGTTCCTCTTCCTTAGTGATGTTATTCTTGACCTTGGGCTTTCTTATATACATTTTATAAGTAGCTTGTTAGTTTCACACGCACAAATAAAAACTGTTGATGTTTTGACTAGGTTACAATTAGAGGATAAGGACATTATTGAGTCCTCTAATTCATTAACATGGTTTATCTGTCCTATAATTTAGGCCTTCTTAATATCTTTCAAAAACCAGAGTGCATTGTATTTTTCTCTATCAGTGTAATTTTTATCAATTATAATTTTATCAGTTACTCATCTTGCACCTTTCCCCCTTAGATTTCTGGCCTAGATGTCAGTCATCCACAGA